AATCAAGTCACCAGAAATGTGCCCAGGAATTATCTTCCCTTATTTTGTGCATATTTTTGTTAAGAATGAAGTGTGACTCTCATGCCCTATATTATTTTGCCCTATGTGAAGATGTTTTCATTGTAATGTAATTACCTAATAATAAAAGGAACAATTTGCTAAGAAGATGGAATAGCTTTAAACTTGTATGTACTTAATAACATATGCCAAAATATAAAAAGTAAAAATTGACAAAACTATGAGGAGAAATTTGTCAAAGACATAATTATTATGGGAGATTTTCTTGTCAGTAATGAATAGCTTAAACAGTCCGATTAATAGGTAGAAATTTTAAACACCTTAATTTTACAAATTTTATCTAATGAACACATGTAGAACTCAATAGTTATTTTAAAGTTGATTTTGTGATAGTATAAAGCTATAGTTTCCGAACTATGTGCCGTTACACCTTAGGGCACCACAGTGAACTCACAGGGGGACTTTAACAACAACAAAAAAAAAACCCGTTGCCATCAAGTCGATGCCAACTCATAGCAACCCTATAGAACAGAACAGAACTGCCCCATAGGGTTTCCAGAGAGAGGCTGGTGGATTCAAACTGCCAACCTTTTGGTTAGCAGCCGAGCTCTTAACCACTGCGCCACTAGGGCACCTTTGGATATTCTAAATTATTGAGAAACACATGACATTAAACATCTTTCAGATACCTCAAAACTACTAGCTCTTGAAGTAGTTCACGGTTTGAACATTAGATCACACTGCATTCCTTTCAGTCACATATTTTATTTAAGAGTGAAATATTTTTTCTTTTAATTTGTGGGTTTTTTTTTTTTTTAGATGACTACTTTATTAAGGTTTTGGACATAAAACTAATTAATAAAGGAAGCTGTTAGGTATTTCCTTCGTCTTTATACTGTGAACTGAGAAAGTTTCAGAACTTCTGCTATAAAGCCTGTCAGCTAATTTCAAAGTGTTGTACATACCAAGTCCTCTGACCACAGTATAGTTAAATTAGAAATTAATAAATAAGACAGTTACAAAAACCCCATGGTTATGAAAAAGTTAAAGCACTTTTAATACCTTGGCATCAAGCCAAATCCATTGCCATCAAGTCAATTCCAATTCATAGCAACCCTGTAGGACAGAGTGGAACTTCCCCATAGGGTTTCCAAGGAGCGGCTGGTGGATTTGAGCTGCTGACCTTTTGGTTAGCAGCCCAGTGCTTAACCACTGTGCCACCAGGGCATCAAAGAAATCCTAATTAAATTTGGAATGCCTAGAAGTGAATAATAGGAAAAATACGCATTAGAACCTGTGGAATGCAGTTAAAGTGGAACTTCATAAGGGAAATTTATAGCCTTAAATTCTATATTTAACATTAGGAGAAAACTAAGTACTGTAAATTAATGAGCTAAATATTCACCTTGGGGAGTTACAAAGGGATCTCAAGTGTAAACACAAAGTAAATGGAAAAAAGTAAAGGGATTAATGAGATAGAAATCAAAGATACAGCAAAGTTATCGACTTTGTTCTTTGAAAAACCCGTAGAATAGACCTCTGGCAAGATTGAACAAGAAGTAGAGAGAAGGAACAGATAAACTGTAGTAGGAATTTAAAATAGTATGTTAATTTAAATATAGTGTAAGTTTAAAAAACTTCAGTGCATTCGTTAGTTTTTGCTGCATAATAAATCACTGTAGAATTGTAAGTAACTTAAAACTGGCCATTTTATTCAGCTAACAAGTCTGTGAGTTGGTAGAGTGGTTCTCTGCTGGGTTCCCTCATGCATCTCCAGTCAGCTGGTGGGTTGGTGGATGACTGGATGATTTAGGATGGTCTTGTTTCTGGCTGTTGGTTGAGGCCTTGATTGTTCTCTGCATAGCTCACATTCTTCAGCAGCCCAGCTCAGTGTTGTTCACAGTGGTTTCAGAATTGCAAGAGCAGCAAGAGAGGCCATGCCTCAATGTGTGAGCATTTTCAAGCTCAGTGTCCCCTTGCCAAACAAAGCAAGTCACACACCCAAGCCTAGAATCAGTGCAGAGGCATGGATATGGAAGGGGAATTAATGTTATTTTTGCAAACTGTCTACCGCAGTTTGGATATGAATAACTTTATGCCAATTAATTTGAAAACCTAGGTGAAATGGACAATATCCTAAGAGGAGGAAATTTACCCAGCTGACTTAAGAAGTGAAAAACCTGAATAGATCTGAAAACAATTAAAGAAATTATACCAATGGCTAAAGATTTAACCTCTCCTACCCCCACCCTCTGGAAAAAGGTAGTCTTTCAGATGGAACTCCAGCAAACATTCAAGGAACAGATAATTTCAGTCTTATTAAATGGTTTCAGAGAAAGTAAAGAGGGAACACTTCACAGCTTATTTAATGAGTCTAGTAAAATCACGACACCAAAAACCAGACCAAGACAGTATGAACAAAGAAGCTTTAAGCCAGTTTCACTAATGAGCATAGGTGAAAAAATCTGAAATGTTAGTAAATTAAATCTAGTAATGAATATTTAAAAAAAAAAAAAGTTTCTCCTAGGACCTGTAAGAATAGTTTAACATTAGAGAATTAATTTACTACATTTACAGGTGAAAGGGGGAAAGTTATATGTCCATTTCAGTAGCTACAAAAGAAACACAGTTTGTAAAATTGTGCACCCGTTCATGGTTTAAAAAGAAAAAAATTAGCAGTTTAAGAATACGAAGGAGCTTCCTCACCAAATAAAGGGTGTTTACCAAAAAAGAACAGCAACATCATATATAATGATGAAATGCTGTTCTCTCCCATATTGGAACTATGTAGTATATAGGCTTTAGTTGTATTCATGCTTTGCATTGCTTTTATGCCTGGAATACTTGGAGGAAGAAGGGATAGAGGGAGTAAGATCCCTAAAAGGCCTTTGGAAGGTTGATTGTTCAGGTTCTGGAAAAATTAGGGGAAAACAGAGTGAAAATAGATTGGGACCAGGATTACAAAAATTCTTTTTTGGTTTATCTGTCTATAGATAAACTTTGTTGAAACTTTTTAAGTGGATTAAATTCCAAAAGATGTTAAAAATTGCCATATTATGTATGCATAAGCTTTTTTAAATTTTGAAATAATTTCAAACTTGAAGTTGTGAGAATAGTACAAAGAACACTAAATACCCCCTCCCTAGCATCCAGCTTCCTTGGTTGTTAGCATTTTTCCATACTTGCCTTAGTCTCTCCCTAATTTATACAGAGAGATAGATTACATAGATAGATACACATTTTTCCATACTTGCCTTAGTCTCTCTCTCATTTATACAGAGAGATAGATTACATAGATAGATGCACATTTTTCCATACTTGCCTTAGTCTCTCTCTAATTTATATAGATAGAGAGACACAGTTTTTTTCCTAAACCAGTTAAGTTGCAGGCGTGATGCCCCATTACCTTTAATACATCAGTTTGTATTTCCTAAAAAGAGATGCTTTCCCACATACCACAGTGCATTTGTCAGATTAACATAGATAAAATTCTACCTTCTAATCTATAGACCCAACTCAGATTTTGCCATTGTCCCCAGTAATGTCCAATATAGATTCAGGAGCTAATCCAGGATCAGACATTGAATTTAGTTGTGTTTCTTTAGTCTCCTTCAATCTGGAATAATTCCTCAATCTTTATCTTTTATTTTATAATTACATTTTTTAAGAGTACAGGCCAGTTCTTTGTAGAATGGTGGATTTGGGTTTGTCTCATTTTCCTCAGGTTATTATTATTTTTGGTCAGGAATACCAGAGACTTGATATTGTTTTCTCCTTGTGTCAGACCAGGAGACACAACATCAGTTTGTCCTTTACGGGTGCCTTTGTCACACGGTCAAGATGATGCCTGCTACGTTTTCCCACTTGAGACACTTAAGACTATGTAAAGGTCAAAGCATAGATTTTAGTATTTGTGAGATGCTTTAATTTAGAAATAACTAATTTAGAATTGATCATTTGAGTAGTTACTAAATGAAAAAGTCTGCTGTGATATAAGTAGAAGTTGATAATTTCCTAATGATTAGCGTATTATAAGCATCAGTTTATTTAAACATGCTTGCTTATACATAACACAAAATATATGTCCTGCAGATAAGCCATAACAGATACAGTTCTAGTTCTAGTTTTAAAATGCTATTTGAAAATGCTTGAAATTTACCATCAGTATTAATGACCTAAATAACTTTCTATCTTAATGACTTCTGTAAATATTATACTGAAGACTAGGTAGAATGCCATTTGAAATTTTAAATTGAGAAGGATCTGAGAAATCAGTTAGTCCTTTGATCTAATTTGTTTGTATTTAATTCTACCTTATTTTATAGACTAGCAAACTAAAAATTTAGAGGAAATTGGTGATTTATACAGTTAGGTATTACTTGAAATGGCACAGGTTACCATTAATTGAAATCTATTAAAATGTAGAAATATGTTTGCTTATAGAGAATTCTTGTTTGTAAAACCCTGATAGCAAGAGTTTAAGTTGCTGGAACGATGGCAAGTAGGTGAGGTTTACATTGATGAACTCCCACTCCTGGCACCCCCAACAAACTTACAGACTTTACCATTTGAGCACTGAACTCTTTCCCATTCAACTGGCTTCTTAATAAATTGCTGCAGACAAACATTAGCAATAAGCAGGTGAAAACTGGCATACTAGTTGGAACACATTTGCTGGACTTTTTTATATAATGTTGTGTACTCAGATTTAAATCTTTGCTAAATATCGAGAGGGTCAGTTTTGTTCAAGACAGTTGGCACTTAATGTGTAAAAGCTGGACTGTAAACCGGTTAATTTTGTCACCAAAACCATGATGTGGCCTCGTCAGAGGTTTGCAGAATGAACATTTAATCCATATTATTCTTATGTAGAGGTTCAGTATTTGTTTTATAGTTACCTAATAAAGCTGAAATAATTTGGATGAGTTTTTCATTAACAGAAGTCTTCATGACTTCTTAACCATTTATTGGTTACCTTTCAGAACAAAAGAGATGAACACTTATTGAAAAAGAGAAATGTTCCCCAAGAAGAAAGTTTAGAAGATTCAGATGTTGATGCTGATTTTAAAGCAGTAAGTGACCTTGTTCTTATATAGTGTCTTTAAAATAATTTTTATAATAACCAGGAAGACTTTATTTTTAATGTAAGACCAATTTTACAATGATAATTAAGGTATATTAATTCTAGTTTTAACAGATAGACTATTTAATGAATTGTAATTTTGCTAATAAACTTTTTGCTGAACTATCTTCTTTTCTTTTTAAGCAAAACGTAACACTAGAAGCTATATTGCAGGTATGTTATTAATTTAATATTCTCATTTTAAAGTGTTTCGATTTTTTTTTTTTTACATTTCTGAAATTTACATTTGGTGTTGCAGAATGCCACAAGTGATAACCCAGTGGTCCAGTTGAGTGCTGTCCAGGCTGCAAGGTAAATGCTAATTTGTCCTCAGGAAAAGTATGTCATCTCTAGGGTGTCTTAGCTGATAGTCTAAACGTAGTACATTGTTACTTCTGTTCATAGTTTGAAAATTATAGCAGTTAATTTCTTATCTTTCTGTTTCTAGAAAGCTATTATCCAGTGACAGAAACCCACCAATTGATGACCTAATAAAATCTGGGATCTTACCAATTCTAGTCAAATGTCTAGAAAGGGACGATAAGTAAGTATAAGTGTGATACCCTGTTCACTTTTTTTCAGTTAACTTAAAATTTAGGATCGTTGTTTAACCAATAGCTTCAATTTGGTTTTGTATTTATTATGTCTTTAATTCTCATGTATTTTTATTGTTATTTTTTCATTCTATACTTGCAGACCGCCGTTGCTTTCTTTTTCAGTTTATGAAGTATGTATATTTCTAGGAAAATTTTAGCTCTTGTTTATTGCCTATTCTAACTTATCCTAAATATTTATTACTTTTATTCGTTAGTTTCTTTCATTAGTAGTATTTTAAAATAACCCAAATAGTATTTGAGTCACCCTTTGCTTATGAGTCTATATATAGATTAGCCTCATGACTGAGTCAACATGAACGGTTTCCAAAATTCAGTGCCTCTTTCTTAACCTGGGAGTATTCCAGCTGATCCACTGATCTGCTAAAGTTCTGTTAACTTCAGCCGTGGTTCGTTGTCTAACATCTTGCTTTTCATTTTTGGTAAAATTAAAATATAAATAAAGGAGCAAGGTTATACTTATCCAGAAGAGAAGGGGGGAAACACCACTTGGTATCTCTTGTAATACTGGCTGCATTTCCATTTAGTGCTGTTATCTTAAACGTCATCATTTAAATTAACTGGGTAGAATGTAAGTTTGAATTCCAAAACACTTTAAAACAAAGTTTTTGCATTTAAGAGCATTTAGATGGAAACTTGGATGTTTTACCAAACACTGTCTGAGGAATTTTCAGTTGACTAGATAAGAATAGTGGTATATAAATGTTCCCACAGAAGAGTTCCTTAGTATTTAATACTTCCTTCACTTCTATTGTGTACCACAACCTACCCTCTCCCAAAGGTCCTTAATACTTTTTTTATACTATCGTGTATATTTTCGGTGACAAGGATTATTTAAGTAAAGTAAGTTTTATTTCACCCTTTTAAAAAATAAATTCTCTCCTACTTCCACCTTTAGGGACCTTTTTGTTCATGGTCCACTTCTCTTTTTTCTTTACTTTCTAGCCTTTGGCAAAGACTCATTTGTGTGGTGTGCCTATGAAACATAACATATATAAAGAAAACTATGTTGAAATATATATAATTTAATGAACAATTATAAAACAGCAAAATAGAAAATTGTCAGTGGTTTGAATTTGACTTTAAGAATTTGTTATGGGAAATTGTGTTGTAGTGTAAAAGAGAGACTTTGGAGCTAAGTAAACCCTGATTTAAATCCAGAATTTGCCAATGACCAAAACACAAGTGGCTTTGGATAAGTCAGGTAATCTCTCTGAGCCTCAGATACCTTATTTATAAAAATTAGGTGGTCGTAAGGAGTGGAGATAATATATATATACAGAACTTTAGACAATATCAAGGTTATAATAAGTGTTCATTTACCATTTATTTATCGCACTCATTTTTTCTGTACCTCTATTTTCTTTGTTCATACGACCTCTTGGAAGACTTACCTTGGTTTTGTAATTTTATTTTTCACATCTTTCCAGTTTCTCATTTAAGGCCCCATTTCTAGTATTTGCCAAACCATCTAGACCAGCTTAATAACCCTTTCTCCTTTAAATCTGGGACAGTATACAGTGTCTGTCATCTTGGATCTTACTGTTCTTTTACTTCTCCCCTGCCTCTAATAGCCTCGTATCCCCTATTTTCTACCAAAATTCATCATGCGTTTCCTATTTGCTGCTCCATCTTTTCCTCTATTCTACCCTTTAAACCTGTAGAGTATATTTTCCAGCTTCGCTGCTTGCTCTGTCTCTCACATTCATTCTCCTTGACACCTTTTCCTTCTTGGATCCCTTTAACCTTTTGATAGTAACATCCTAGCTCTCTTTTTCCTGATTTCCTAACCTTTGGTTCGCCTTAGTTTTTGCTTACCACTACCCTCTCCCACCTTGATACTCTATTTAAGGGAATTTATATTCTTTCAGCTATCTATCCGGTCTTAATGTAGATAGTTTTGCATATGTTTTAACAGGAACATCAGCCTTTAACTTTTTTTATCCATTCTGCATATTATTGTCTCCAATATTATTTTCTTTACTCCCCTTTTCAAAAACTTTCAGCAGCACCCAATTATTTCTATGTATATAGAGTAAATTCCAAATTCTATAGCCTGGGATTTGATGCACGCTCCCCCCTACCTTCCAATTTCATCCTTTGTTATATTTTTGCATCTGTCCTTGGCTTCCGTCTCTTGATCTATTCCTTGTTATGCATGCACATCATGATCACTCCACCTATGATAGCCTTTATTTCTACTTCCAGCTGTCAGTGTCTTCCTTTTTCTAGTCATCTTTCAAAAACTAGTTCAATTTGCACTTTCTTTGTGAAGTCTTCTATCACTGTTCCAAATTATAATGATCTCATCCTTTCAGTAAAGTTACGCAGCCTTATAATATCTCCAGTATGAAAAGCAGATGGTATAGTGGAGTCAGAGGGGGTTTTGATTGTAAGACCAGTCTAGAGGCTGTGGCAGTAATTCATGTGGGGTGATGAGGGCCTAAACTTGCACAGTGCTGTTACAGGTGATGATACAAATGGAGGAAATATTTAGGAGGTAAAATTGACATGACTTACTAATTAGATGTGGTGTCTGTGAGAGAGGAGAGGAAAATAATGGCTGGCTGAATGTTACAATTACCGATAGAGAGAAGGAAGCAAGTTTATATTGACTGAGCCCTGGTGGCACAGTGGTAAAGAGCTCGGCTGCTAACCAAAAGGTCAGCAGTTCGAATCCACCAGCTGTTCTTGGAAGCCCTGTGAGGCAGTTCTGTTCTGTCCTGAAGGGTCACTGTGAGTCGGAGTCGACTCAATGGTGACAAGTTCGGTTTTGATTTTTTTTTAAATGTTACAACTACCAATGGAGATAAAGAAGCAAGTTTATGGTGACTGAAGGCTTTGGGAGCTGACGAGCTATTCAAGTGGAAATATCTAATAGGCATTGGCTATAACAAGGCAAGATTCAAGGACAAGGTAAAGAATAGCCATGTAGATCTGAGGTTCATTAATCTAAATGGTAATTTTTTGTTGTTTTTTTCAGTCCTTCATTACAGTTTGAAGCTGCCTGGGCACTAACTAACATAGCGTCAGGAACATCTGCACAGACTCAAGCTGTTGTACAGTCTAGTAAGTACATTAACGCCCTTACTCTCAGGATTTTTTTTCTTTTTTTAAACAATGGCAAGGAAATGGAGTTTTGTAGCAAAGACTGAATTTTAGCTTGTAACATTTTTAAACTGGTGAATTTTATGAGTTACTTTTTGATAATTGGTATCTTTCCCATAGGTATCACTGATCTGTTATTAAATAATTTTAGTTGTGATTATTAAAAAGTGAATAGAATTTTATCTTTTGGGGTAGAGACCATTTCCTAATAACTAGGCTTAAAAATTTCTGTTTCTGATACCTCCAAGGTACAGAGTGGCTTATGTCTTTTAGCTTGTAACATATATATTTTTAAAATTTTGCTTACCTCAAGACTGGGCTCACTATTATTGGTGTGTTGACCCAAACTGACAAAAGCTATTTGAAATGAACTAGGTATCATCTAGATGTGACTGAGTACATTGTCTCTTATTTTGTGGGACACTTAGCTGACTTCAGATGGGAGTTAAGATGATTTTAAGTAGTATATGATATAATAGTAAGTTACATTAAATCATGTAGTGAGAATACTGTTCCCTTTTAGTTCTCTTTTAGGTATTTCAATAATATCATGGAGAAAGCTTCCAGTTAGGTGTTAGTTGTAACAGAAAGGAAACAGGCCTTAGACTAGGGCTTTCAGTAGAGACTAGTAGGTACAGTTTAATAGCAATGTTTTGTTTTCGTTGTTTTTTTTTTTTTATTATCTGCTATTTGTGGTAAGTAATATTGGTCTTCTGTTTACAAAAGTGATAAATAAAAGTAGTTAAAAATGTCACTTGGAACCCTCATACATTGCTGGTGGGAATGTAAAATGGTCCAGCTGCTTTGGAAAAGTTTCTCAAAAGGTTAAACATAGAGTTTTCATATGACCCAGCAGTTCTTCTCTTAGGTATATACCTAAGAGAAAAGAAAACATATGTCCATATGAAGACTTGTACACAAATGTACATGAATATTCGTAGTACTATTTGTAATAGCCAAAAAATGGAAATAATGCAAATGTCCTTTAGTTGATGTGTGAATAAATAAAATATTGTATATTCATACAATGTAATACTGTTCGACAATGAAAAGGAATGATTTACACAGGTGAATTTTATGGTATGTAAATGATATCTCAACAGAGCTGTTAAAAGTGAATCATTATGAAAATATTAAGCAAGTAATGCACAGATATAGCAAAAAATCTTGGAGGTAGTACACTTTTGATTGAAACTTAAGGCCTAACTTATGCTTAGTTTCCTAGCAGGAAGTGGGTGTGAGAGCCATGTTTTAGGATTTGGGGAGGTGGTTAATATTTATGTTATGTAAAGTGAAAGGACAGTCTAATCTGCAGCTGACCACGGGGACAATGCAGGACTGGGCAGTGTTTCATTCCGTAGCGGATGGGATTGCCGTGAGTCGGGCTGACTCGATAGCATCTAACAACAAGTGTAAGGACTATATGATAAATTATTTTAAAATATAAAGTAGACCTCATATGGGATTAGTCAATTTTTTTGGTTAATCCCATATCAGGGATTGAGATTACATTGACTAAGTATTACATTTTGAGGTTACGTGTTGCTCTTTTTTTATGCATTATAGCAAAGATTTCATGCTGTATTTTCTTTTAGTTAATGATGTAATAGCAACCTGTAGGTATTGTCAGTTGGTGTGTACTGGAATGTTAGTAGAAGAAAATACTGAAATAGATTGTTTTTAAGGTAAAAGTATTTGCTACATTTATTAATTCAGTTAGCTATAATTGAGCAACTACAGCATGCCAGACTACGTATTTTATCAACTTATTTAGGTTGAAACCTATATAAACTCTTCAACATTTTACCACTATAAATATTATT